TAAACAGGGCTGCCTTCAGATGTCTTCTAAAAGTGTGGTAGATGTTTTTCTCTTTGACATCTGGTGGGAGGGCGTTCCACAGGGCGCGTGCCACTACTGAGAAGGCCCTCTGCCTGGTTCCCTGTAACTTGGCTTCTCGCAGCGAGGGAACCGTCAAAAGGCCCTCAGCACTGGACCTCGGTGTCCAGGCAAAACAATGGGGGTGGAGATTCTCCTTCAGGTAACGACCGAGGCCATTTAGGGCTTTAAAGGTCAGCACCAACACTTTGAATTGTGCTCGAAATGTACTGGGAGCCAGTGTAGGTCTTTCAAGACCGGTGTTATGTGGTCCTGGTGGCTGCTCCCAGTCAGCAGTCTTGCAGCCACATTCTGGATTAGTTAGTTGTAGTTTCCCGGTCACCTTCAAAGGTAGCCCCACATAGAGCACTTTGCAGTAGTCCAAGCAAGAGATAACTAAATCATGCACAACTCTGGCGAAACAGTCCACGAGCAGGTAGAGTCTCAGCCTGCATACCAGATCAAGCTGATCAACTGCTACTCCCTGGACATAGAATTGACCTGCGCCTCCATGGACAGCTTTAACTCCAGAATGACTCCCAGGCTGCTCACCTTCAAGGCCACAGTTACCCCATTCAGGACCAGGGAGTCCTCCATACCTGCCCGCCTCCTGTCCCCCAAAAACAGTACTTCTGTCTTGTCAGGATTCAACCTCAATCTGTTAGCTGCCATCCATTCTCTAACTGCCTCCAGACACTTACACAGGACCTTCACTGCCTTCGTTGGTTCTGATTTGAAAGAGGTAGAGCTGGGTATCATCCGCATACTGATGAACACCCAGCCCAAACCCGCTGATGATCTCTCCCAGCGGCTGCATGTAAATGTTGAAAAGCATGGGGGAGAGGACAGAACCCTGAGACACCCCACAAGTGAGAGCCCAGGGATCTGAACACTCATCCCCCCCCCACTTTCTGAACACGGCCCAGGAGGAAGGAGTGGAACCACTGTATAACAGTGCCTCCAGCTTCCAGCTCCTCTAGACGGTCCGGAAGGATGTTATGGTCGATGGTGTCAAAAGCCGCTGAGAGATCCAGCAGAACTAGGAAGCAGCTATCACCTTTGTCCCTAGCCTACCAGAGATCATCGACCAGTGCAAACAAGACAGTTTCAGTCCCATGATGGAATGGAAGATTTGAGACTGTGTGATAGTTGGCTATATTGGTCGCATCTAAAGATGTTTTTTTAAGAATCTGTTTGATAACCGTCTCTTTTAGTGGGTCTGGGAAGGCTCCCTCACAGAAGCATTCACCACACCGCGAAGCCCATCGCCCAGCCCTTCCCGGCTAGGTTTTATAAGCAAGGATGGGCATTTAACGCCAGTGAAACTAGCAAAAATATATGGAACAAATAACCAATGTTGGAAAAGTAAAGAAAAAGATGGTACCTTTAATCATATGTGGTGGGTGTGTAAGGAGGTGAAGGCTTTCTGGGAAATGCTATATAATGAACTTTTAAAAATGTTGAAATATACATTTATAAAAAACAACAACCCAGAAGCCTTCTTATTAGGTATTGTGGGTAGAGAAATACATAAGCGAGATAAAACATTGTTTTTATATGCAACAACTGCAGCAAGAATATTATTAGCCCAAAGATGGAACAAGAAGAGATACCAACGAAAGAACAGGCACTTTTCAAGAGGGATATGGTGACTTATAACAACAGCGGACATTTGTGCAAAGCAGGGATGGAGGGAACTGAGAGGGGGGAATGACAATTTTAAATAAAGCAGCAGTTTGAGTTAAATACATTCAAGCAATGGTATATTTGAGGATGGTGCATCCTTGGGGGAATCTTATATGAGGAAAATGGAGGTTTTAAAAAATGGCAGAGTTTTGAGTAGTTAGCTGGGGGTGACATGTGGGAGCGGGGAAAAGCTACAGGAAATTGCCACTTTCCAGAAGAAACTTCTCATGGCTCTTATGTTACTGTATCCATTGGCTGCAATATTCCCTGTGTTTTTGTACTTTTTTGTATATAGATTAAAGTGGTACCTCAGGTTACATACACTTCGGGTTACATATGCTTCAGGTTACAGACTCTGCTAACCCAGAAATAGTACTTCGGGTTAAGAACGTTGCTTCAGGATGAGAACACAAATTGTGCTCAGGCGGCACAGTAGCAGCAGGAGGCCCCATTAGCTAAAGTGGTGCTTCAGGTTAAGAACAGTTTCAGGTTAGGAATGGACCTCCGGAATGAATTAAGTACTTAACCCGAGGTACCACTGCATTATGTTAACCAAGTTGAGCATGGAAAGAAAGAAGCATACTGTGCTATTAATCAATAAAATAATATCACTCAATCAAGTCACAGAGTTGTTAGCTGCTTTCCACTTCCTGGTGACTAGGAAACCACCTTTTATCAAGAGTACTTTCTGAAACAGTAAGACTTAAGGCGGCAACAAACTCCTCCTAATTTTGCTCATGGCTATCTTGATCACCAGTAAAGAAACAGTTTCTTCTTGTCACAAGATGTTGGCAAACTGATTAAGTGCAGATGAAGAGGAGAGGATAATTTACAGGACATTTTGAATTCAGCTTGGTCAGACTTGCAAGTTTTCCTTGCGACTTGGGGATTGCATTGATTCCTGCAAATCCTTTGATTGCCTACTTTCCCAGCACAGAACGCTCTTACTCCTGCTTTCTGCCGCTCATGATATCTGAGCCACAGATTCTCACAGGTATGTGGACATACTTAACATGCAAGGGGTAGCAGGAGAGCCACTGCTCAGTGGGATAATTAGCAATCTGAGCTGGATAGAAAAACGGTCTTGCCTTGTTCAAGGCAGTTTTCTATATTTATTTATTCAGAATTTTGAATGTATGCATGGCTTGAGAATGGATGTGTGTATGGTTGGACGGGACACCAACACAGACTGAAGGAGAGATGAAGACAAAGGAGTCCAGAAGCTTCACCATAAAGGTTGCCTTTGAGGAGGAGCATGAAGGAAAAGAAATATGTGAGGGCACCAAAGAGGAGAAAAAAGCAAGAAGAAAGGATGTGATGTGTTAGTGCTGGTGCAAGACATTTTGCTGCCTGAAGCAGAGGAGCAAATGTACTCACAAACCCTTGCTGCACCTCTTCCTGCCTTCATCCTTCCCATTCACCCAATTCACCCAATGAGAAGGGCCTTCCTTACCTTCCTGCACTCTCTCCTGCCATGCATATAATTTATGTAGCTTGCATCTGGGAGCAAAGAGGCTTGAGAGATTTCAAGCAGCCTACTTTTATCCAAAGAGGACTCTCTGATTAAGAGTGGGAGTAGATTGGCTATATGTAGACAGGAGTGCCTTGCGTGCTCTGGTCCATGGGGTCACGAAGAGTCGGACACGACTAAACGACTAAATAACAACAACAACATCCCTACTGTACCATCATCCTGCTCTTTCCAGCCCATTAGCTGGGCTCTCTTTCCCCCGGTGTTTTGGAAATCTCCTGCGTGGGGAGCAAAGTGCTTCTCAGTGCTTATAACTTACTTGCAGGCTTTTGAAGTGTAATGGAGCCTTTCAAAGCACTTTTGTATATTTTACAAATGGAGCTGTTACTGTGCATGATCACAATCCCCTTTAGACTATATTGACAACCCAGTGACAATTGTTTTTCTCTTGTCACATGACACTGGCAAACTGATTAGGCATAAATGAAGGCAAGCAGGCACATTCCAGCACATCTTGTCATGAGCTCTTAAATGCATTGAATGCTTCCTCAAGACTTGGGAGTTGCATTGCTGTCTGCAAATCTTCCAGCACTGGATTACTTACTTCTGGTTCTCTCTCTCTCTATCACAATATCTGATCCAACGTTAGTCACAGGTAAGCAAAAAGCTCAAGTTAGAAATCCTTCACTTGCAAGAGCAGAAAGGGGCATAATTGGTGTGGCAGAATTAAGCACCGATGATGATAATAATAATGATGACTGACAAGCACAGCTTCAACCCCTGGGGTTAAAGGTAAAAAGATAACACAGCTGTGAAAGATTCTGTATGAGGTTTTAGGAACAGAAAAGTAAAGGAAGCTGCCTCCTAAAATTTTGTCCATTGTAATTAGCAATTGGTGTAGCAGAATTAAGCACCGAGGATGATGATGATGATGATGATGATTGATAAGCACAGCTTCAGTCCCTGGGATTAAAAGATAACACAGCTGTGAAAGATTCTGTATGAGGTTTTAGGAACAGAAAAGTATAGGAAGCTGCCTCCTAAAATTTAGTCCATTTATTTATTTTTACCCACCTTTACTCCACGGAGTTCAAGGTGGTGTACATGGTTTGTCTTGCTCCTCTTTTTATCCTCACAACAAAGCTGTGAGGTAGGTCAGGCTGAGGAACTCTGGTTTGAGGTTACCCAGTGAGTTTTATGTCTGTGTGGGAATTTGATTGCTGGTCTCCGAGATCTTACTCCAAAATTGAAATCACAATGTCATATTGGCTATTTCCAATTTGCCCAGTATTGCTTTACATTGTTGCATTGCAGGGGGTTGGACTAGATGATCCTTGGGTCCCTTCCAACTCTAAGATTCTATGGTTGTGTGACTCTGGCTGACAGCACTTCTCAAGGGTTTCAGACAAGGTTCTGCCCTAATGGTTGATGCCAGGGATGAAACCCTTCTGCACAGGAGGCAGATGTTACACTATGGAGCTATGTTCCTTGCCCTGGGAAGCATTTTTACTTTGGTGAATATGGGAACCCTATCATAGAGACGCTCTGAAACCCCAAATATATTCAGGTAGCTGCAAGCCCCACTGGTCCCTTTACCTGGCAATTAAAGAGCAAGTCATTTCACCTTAACCACCCACTCCATAATAGCTACAAAGTATGAAAGACTAATCTCCAAAGCTTTAGCTTTGTCTTTGCTTATTTCCGTTAATAAAGACTAATTCTACCATTCTCTAAATTCTTCAGCAGGAAAACACCGGACAAAGTAGAAAAGCAAAGACTGATCACGATGATCAATTACAGCCTCCCATCACTGTCCCCAATGAATGCTGGAGAGGAATATTACGGAACGGACAATGGAACTGTTCTCTCTAACAATAGCTTCACTAATAATAATTCAGGATTGACATTAGGAGAGTATATGTATCTATATATTTGCTTTTTAATCAGCATTTTGGGACTTTGGTGGAATGGGACTGTCATCTGGCTGCTTGGCTTCTGCATTAAGAGGACTCCTTCCACTACTTACATCCTGAACCTCTCCATAGCTGACTTTGGTTTACTCACAGTTAATCTTAGTTCGTATATATGGTCCCTGTTTGAAGTATCTGTCCTCAAACACCTTCTAGTATACATTCTTATTCTAATGTTCCTGTTCTACAGCACAGGTCAATTTCTGCTGACAGCCATCAGCATTGATAGGTGTGTGGCTGTCCTTTTCCCACTTTGGCATCGATGCCACCGGCCACCAAATATGTCCACCGCTGTTTGTGCCTCAATATGGGGACTTTCTTCTATTTTCCCTGCAATTCACTTCACTCTCCTTCTGGCTGATTTCAATGTTTATAACATACTGGGCATTCATCTTATTGTGAATGGCTTCCTTTGCCTCCCACTCATGACTATCGCCACTCTGATCCTTTTTATCAGGGTCTGCTTTAAATCACACCAGAGGAGGAGGGGGAAAGTTCTGGTTATAGTCCTGCGTGCTCTCTTCTTCTTCATCATTTTTTCTTTTCCACTCAACGACGTTTTCATCACTGTTTATGTTCTTGATTCAGAACCTCCTTCTTTCTTAGAATATGCCTTCATACTTGCCTATCTGGATAGCTGCATTAACCCTTTGATTTATTTCCTGGTTGGAAGACAGAAAAGAGGCAGGTGTAGGCAGAGCATGAAAGCCACATTCCAGAATGTTTTCAAAGAGGATGAAAACCCTGGAGAGGCAGGCGAGATCTCTTTGGAAACTCAGTTATGAGGGCTCAAAAATATTGCCAAAATATGTCTTTATCATTGTGATTCTGATGACACAATCTAGTTCCCAATTTACAAACTTTCTGTCTGTAACATTGTTGACCTGTGCTCAGTGCTGGCTATTGATTTCAGAGTGTGCATAGAATCTCAGTCTTGAACAGATGGATGGACTTGATGAACTTCTTATTATCCTTATTATTTTATAAATCTAGATAGTATACGACTATGGAGGAAGCCTGGGTCCATTGATGGGAAGAGCATTTAATGTATTCAGGGAGCTCTGAGCTTGCAGTTGGAGCTGCTGGGGAAAGATGTAGGCTGGGGTGCGAAAGTAGATTTGGCTGGCAGAGGGGAACCTTTTAACACATTTTGAATGCTTTATGCATCAGCATTTTTGTTTTCAGTTCAGAACCACCCTAGAGCCTATATTATGACTACTTTTGTGAGTGCCTGAACAGTTGTGTTAACCCTTTGATTTATTTCCCTCTTGGAAGACATAGGAGATTATAAATGGTGTTCATTATTTTTAAAGAGTGGCAAAACGTAATTACAAGATTTATCTGGCAGGGAATGAAACCAGGAATAAAAATTAAATTAATTACAGATACCAAAGAAAGAGGAGGTTTCTCTCTACCAGATTTGAAAGTGTATTACGAAGCTTCTTACCTTTGTTGCTTAAGGGATTGGATATTGTTAAAAAATACAGCTCTATTAGATCTGGAAGGATTTGATAATTGATTTGGGTGGCAGGCATATTTATGGTATGAGAAGGTCCATTAAGGTTTTCTGAACCACATAATTCTAAAATCAATATATGAGGTGTTGAATAGATATAAGACTTAATAGAATGTAATGCTGTTTCCATTAGAGGCAACAACTATAAAAACGTTAAATATGGGGGGGGGATGGGCCACCTATGGAGATTTGGTGATGGAGATGGATAACCAGTAGAAACTAAAACCTTTTGAGGAAATAAAAAAACCTGGTAAATGAATGGCTGCATTATCATCAAATAAATGAAGTGTTTAAAGAAGACAACAAGAAAAATGGATGTGAATATATAAGATCTAGGTTTGAATTGGATTTATTAAGTAATAAAGTAAAAATGTTGTCAAAAATGTATAAGTTACTTTTGGAATGGTATACAAAAGATGAAGAAGCTAAATCTGTAATGATACATTGGGCCAAAGATATTGGGCATATCATACTTTTAGAAGATTGGGAATGATTGTGAAAAGCTGAAATAAATTTTACTGCATGCAGTTTGCTCAAATAAAATGTAATGAACATGATGTACAGTGGTACCTCGGGTTACATATGCTTCAGGTTACATACACTTCAGGTTACAGACACCGCTAACCCAGAAATAGTACCTCAGGTTAAGAACTTTCTTCAGGATAAGAACAGAAATCGTGCTCTGGCGACACGGCCGCAGCAGGAGGCCCCATTAGCTAAAATGGTGCTTCAGGTTCAGAACAGTTTCAGCTTAAAAACGGACCTCTGGAACGAATTAAGTACGTAACCAGAGGTACCACTGTATAGATGGTATATAATGCATGTAAAACTAGCAAAAATGTATAAAACAAATAACCAATGTTGGAAAAGTAAAGAATGAGATGGTACCTTTTATCATATGTGGTGGGTATGTAAGGAGGTGAAGCCTTTCTGGGAAATGATATATAACGGACTTTAAAAAATGTTGAAATATACATTTATTAAAAAACAACCCAGAAGCCTTCTTATTAGGTATTGTAGGTAGAGAAATACATAAGCAAGATAAAACATTGTTTTTATATGCAACAACTGCAGCAAGAATATTATTAACCCAAAGATGGAAACAAGAAGAGATACCAACGAAAGAAGAGGCACTTTTCAAGGGGAAAATTGTGACTTAAAACAACAGTGAACATTTGAGTAAAGCAGGGATGGAGGGAACTGAGAGGGGGGGAATGGCAATTTTAAATAAAGCAGTGGTTTGAGTTAAATACCTTCAAGCAATGGTATATTTGAGGATGCTGCATCCTTGGGGGAATCTGATATGAGGAAGTGGGGAAAATCTACAGGAAATCGCCACTTTCCAGAAGAAACGTCTCATGGCTCTTATGTTACTGTATCCATTGGCTGCAATGTTCCCTGTGTTTTTGTACTTTTTTGTATATAGATTATTATCTTAACCAAGTTGAGCATGGAAAGATTGAAGCATAAGGAAAAGGTAAAGGGACCCCTGACCATTAGGTCCAGTCGTGGCTGACTCTGGGGTTGCAGCGCTCATCTCGCTTTATTGGCCAAGGGAGCCGGTGTACAGCTGGTCATGTGGCCAGCATGACTAAGCCACTTCTGGCAAACCAGAGCAGTGTCAGTATCTCAGCTCACAGTCAGAGGTACCTGGCCTCCCCCGAGGCAGCTGAGCGAGACACTTGTTTACCTTCCGTCTGCGACCCCCGGCAGACTAGGTCGTATATCGGCGATTCTTCTCATTAGACGTGAGAAAGAACACACCCTCTGCTTCTCTCTTCCAGCTTTCCCCCCCAGGGAGGGGAAATGAGACAGACAGGAGTCCTATTTACATGACTTTTTATTCCTGTCATTCAGCAGTACATAGAATCGTGACTGCACCCTTCAGACTCCATCAGAAGAGTCACACCTCCGCCCTGCACTTCCAGCACAGGTCAGATGACACACTGAGCTAACATCCGGTGCTCAGTACAGAGAAAAGACTTCCCCTTTTCTCCAACAGTACATCTGCAAACAGCAACATCCTGTTTTGCTTTCCAGCCACCTGCAGCTGGCTTTTGCATTGCTGCTTTTTCCTGACAAGCAGCACATGGAAACGCTGTTTACCTTCCCGCTGAAGCGGTACCTATTTATCTACTAGCACTTTTGACGTGCTTTCGAACTGCTAGGTTGGCAGGAGCAGGGACCGAACAATGGGAGCTCACCCCGTCGCAGGGATTCGAAACGCTGACCTTCTGATCGGCAAGTCCTAGGCTCTGTGGTTTAACCCACAGCACCACCTGCGTCCCATATAGAAGCATACTATGCTATTAATCAATAAATGAAAATCACTCGATCCAGTCACAGAGTTGTTAACTGCTTCCCGCTTCCCGATGACTAAGAAACCGCCTTTTATCAAGAGTTCTTTCTACAACAGTGAGAATTAAGGCGGCAACAAACTCCTCCTAATTTCACTGACGGCCATCTTGATCACCAGTAAAGAAACAGTTTCTTCTTGTCACAAGATGTTGGCAAACCGATTAAGCGCAGACAAAGAGAAGAGGATAATTTACAGGACATCTTGAAGTCAGCTGGGTCAGTCTTACAAGTTTTCATTGCGACTTGGGCATTGCATTGATTCCGGCAAATCCTTCGATTGCCAACTTTCCCCAGCACAGAACACTGTTACTCCTGCTTCCTCCTGCTCATGGTATCTGAGCCACAGATTCTCACAGGTATGTGAACATATTTCATCTGCAAGGGTGGCAGGACTAGGACAGAATGAGTTCTGGAGATCTCAGCGCCTGATAGACTTAGTAGCTTCAGGTCCAACACTAAGGCTTTGAATGTCCCTTCCAAAACCCTACTGATGTTTGTCCCCAATCAACAGCAAATACAGTGGTTCCTCGGGTTACATACGGTTCAGGTTACAGACTCCGCTAACCCAGAAATAGTGCTTCAGGTTAATAACTTTGCTTCAGGATAAGAACAGAAATCGGGCTCCAGTAGTGTGGCAGCAGCAGCAGGCACCATTCGCTAAAGTGGTGCTTCAGGTTCAGAACAGTTTCAGGTTAAGAACGAACCTCCGGAACGAATTAAGTACTTAACCCGAGGTACCACTGTAGCAGGTTTTCATGGGAATAAGCAATGGCACAAAAGAATCACCTCTCATATCCTTGCCTAGAAATCACAGTTCAAATGGAAGTGTGGATTTTGTATCCAAAATCTGAGGCTGAGTGGTTTGCATGCAGAAGAGTCCAGATTCAGTCTCTGTCAGGTAGGGCTGGGAAGGACACTGTCTGAAATGTGAGGATCTATTACCAGTCTTTTGAGGATGCTTTCCCTAACTCAGTAGGTATTACTAAACTAGCTCAACAAATGATCTGAATTGGTGTAAGCCAACTTCCTAACTAAGTCAATATCAACCGATTTAAATAAATCACAACCAAGTGCCTTGATTTCAGTGGGTCAATTCAGAGTATGGCTTAATCAAATAGCATCCAAAGTATTGGGTTACATGTATATCCAGCCATGTCATTAGGGAAACATCAAATGGCAGAGTTCCTGGCAGAGCCTTAGCTGTGCATAATTATAAATGTGCCTGACTCTATGCACAAATTCAGCTGAATGTGCAGTCACCATAAAGATCTGCTTTTACAATCCTGCCCCTTCTTATGCACTTATATGCATGGTCTTTTATGGGAAGAGGACTAATATGACACATCGTCATATATTCAATTAAATAAGTTCATCCAGTTTAATGTCCCTCTGATGTCAGTCAACCACATATGCCCAACTACTGTAGTTGTACCTCTTGTTTCTTTTTAAAAATTATTTTTACCAGCAATTTCAACATAACAAATTATCAAACCATATAATCGCATACATTATTTTCCCCCTTCCCCCTCCCTTCCATCCCCCCTCCGCTCCCCCGCCAAAGTCTACCCTCAGTTCCTCTCTCTGATTTCTCAGCACATATTATTCGCTGTATGTTATAAAATTTTACATATCCTTACATTATCTAACATGTTATCAACCAATAAATCTGTGTATGTTTATTCAAAACCTGCCAACAAGCCCAGTTCATTTTTTTGTCTTTTTAAATAATTTGTAAAAAAGCTCCCATTCTTCCTTAAAGCCACAGTTGTCCTTGTCCCGCAATTTATATGTCAGTTTAGCCAACTCTGCATAACTCATCAATTTTTCTTGCCACTGTTCTTTCGTTGGGATTTCCTCATTCTTCCATCCTTGTGCTATCAAGACTCTTGCTGCTGTTGTAGCATACATAAA